TCTGCAGAGATGCGGATAGTTGCAAAGTACGCCTTGAGATGCAATTATCACGACTGAATTTTAAAACAACATATTATATACAAAGATTTTTCTGGTATAAGATTGCGTGAAAAAATGCTTCTTCTTGTAATAACGAGGGAAAGGTATATCTCTCAATCCTTTTGATATTTTGTTTTCTGTAAGGTTCTGAAAAAGACGGTCCAGAGATGAAATTTTTGTATTTTATCTCATGGTACTTACAGAGAGATGTGATATCAGAGTTATTTCTTTACTTCATTATCTGTGCTCGTCTTTCAGAATTCAGGGGGAAATATAGTTATTCAAATTATCATTCTCCATGTTGCGGCAGGATGTACTATTCCTTCACAAAAGACACAATGAGGGATAAGAGCCCACATTTGTACCTGATTTACCCTTGAAAATAGATTATATTACATCAGAGCGATAATTTGGTAACAATCCTGACAAAAAACGCTCTTTCTTTTTGTAGTCAAAATTAAACTACCATACGGCTTAGGGTTGGATCTCAGAATAAGAAAACATCTACAGAATTACATCTCTTCTCCCCATAGCACGTCACACTTTTTTAACTGTTTGAGATCTCCTTAGGAAAAACATCATTAGTCCAATCACCCATATATCAATCACCCTCCACTTTGATAAATGGTCACACAATTGAGCAAAAAGCAACAGAAACAAGTTTTGACGGAAACGGAAGACTACAATAAAGCCACAAAGTCATAGATTATTCATAAGTCTGTGCAATATCCAAAGTTTGTTAAATCCTCAGCCCATTACATTGGCTGTCAGATACACGAATCACTGGTTGTTGATATTCTAAAACTACACTGACCCAATATCTGCTGATTTTCTTGCATTGTTTGTTATCTTAGTCACGCTATTTGTGCGATCATTCATGTATCTGCATATTACGGAAAACCAAAAGCCTATATCAAAAGGATTAAGAGCAACAACTTTCACTCTTTATTACAAGAATAATCATTTTTTAGGAAATCATTTAGTCAAACAGGTTTTTCTAAAATTCAGTCGCAATCATTTCATCTCAGGAGTACTGTGCGACTATCATTAGCTTTGCAGAAACGTTCAGAAATAAGTAGAATGACAAATTTAAATGTGAATGAATAAACAACATGCTTGTTACATTTTATAAGTAAGGTTTGTTTTAGACAGTTCAGCTTATACGATTACTACTTGGCACATGATCTAAATGTGGAAATGAAGCCTTTTTTTGTGCAAGTTTGCAATCTTTTAAAAAATTCTTGAAGGTAAATGAAATGAATCTGAAAGGTAAATGAAAAATTCTGAATGTTGACAAGTTTGATATCACAGCAATCTAGCATGTGTGCCATTTTCAGATTTTTATCAGGTTCTCCAACAGATATTACAGTTGAAAATTTGGAAAAAATCCAAAACTCCAGTTTTTAAGAGGATGTAATATTCAACTGGTACATTACTTCCCAATGATATTTTACAAACAGCAACTACATTGTTATGTGTAAAAGCACAGGAAAAATTAAGGTTATGATTCAATTCCTATCTAAAATCTAATTTCTATCATTAACATTGCACGAATTGGATTACAAATATTTCCCAAATAAAAACAGAAGATATGTGAATAATATTTTGATATGTAGGACAGAGTATTCTGAATCCAATGCTTTTTGTTCAAGAATGTTAGAACAACCCAGAGCAGAGTAATTTAGAAAGTGTAAATGTATACAAACTCGCAAAATGGTGCAAGGTGTAAAACAAAAATGGCTGCCATTTGAAAAAAACAGGTAAAAAGAAAAGTTAGAGATGTTTTTGAACAGCCGAACCACAAGGAAATTTATGTTCAAAATATGAATGGTTCTTGAGCTGGTTGAGCGACCAATTTATTAAATTCTGCACCACTTAATATGGATTGACCCAAAGACAGGTCTAAATGCAAAGAATTAGAAACAATATTTGATTCGACTGTGAAATTTGAATAAATAAATAAAACTTGATCACATACAATATATTATCAATAAGGCAAATTAAAGTCTTTCTCAGAAGAATGTCATGTGATTTTGAAGGCTTATTAGTACTTAAAACATCATGTATGTACCTAGTGAGACCCATTCAGACCTCTTGCTGTAATATGTAAAGAAGCAAGATGCTTCTTTACATATTACTAGCTAAATGAACATCGGCTCACTACATTGCCAGAGGAGATTTAATGATTTTATACAAACGTATGTAATCATATAGATTGTCTAGAATGAGTAGCTGGAATTAATTGTAGTGTTCCAAATGAATTTACAGTGCTAATCTACATTTTTTTTCTTTAACTGCTAAATCTAATTTTCGTCAGCAGGCACAAACTAATGAGTATGTGCAAGACTCATCCAAGGTTCCATTAATCAAAATTGAGACATGAAATAAATTCTGGACTCTTTTAAATACATTTTTGTTTCCAAATCTTTGTGTGCAATACAGTATCAGGTAACTCAGCTCATTTTCTAAAATTGGAGACTACTGTACTGTGTGTATTGTGTGTTTGCCTTTTTAAATAAATAAGAAAAATTAATATAACTTACCAACATTAGTATTAGCTTCCATATTTCCAATTTTTTCCAAGGGAGTGAAGTCAAACTGAAGAGCTGGAATGTCACTCGAGTCATCATGACAAGGAATTACTTGGGTGTCACTATTAAATGTTATTTCATAATCATGTTTAATGGAAGTGAACTTTTTATTTGCAGTTTTAAGTGTGCATCGGCTAATGAAGTAAACATTGTTGACCTGAAACATTACAAAGAAGTTTTCACTGCCCACAGCAATGATGGTGGTAGCAATGGTAATATCGTAAACCATTGTCTCTTATTACACAGCTTGGGAAAGTTTGAGTTCCATGGTTCCCTCTTGGATTGGTTTCATAACTATTTAACACGAAGAACACAAAACATGAATAAGAAATCGTTCTTATCATAGATCTATAGAAACATTTACGTTATGTCTCGTGTTCCCAGGGATCCTACTTAAGGCCACTACTTTTTATAAGGTTTGTCAACAATATTCAAAGAGCACTCTCAAATTCTAAATTTGTTTTTTGCCAATAATCTTAAAAAAAAATAGAACAATATATAATATACAAGACATTATTGATCTACAATCTGAACTCAATTCTTTGTCGAAGTGGTGCCAGAAGAAGAGACTAAAATTGAATGTTGGAAAAATTTAAATCTAAGTTCTATTCAAAATTGAGAAATCCAATTGAATTTATTTATAAAATTAATAATGACATGCTTGATGCAGTTTCCCAAATTCGAGATCAAGGTGTGATATTCAACCTCAAATTGAGATTCAATTCTCACAGTGATTATGTAGTAAACATCTAATCAGATGTTAGGAGTTGTGAGGTGAATAACCGTTCAATAATGTTTTGTTTCTGATGTGCTGCTTCCAAACTCACTGTCTTTTCCTAGATTTTCTCACGTCTACTGTCAACCAACCAACTTGAATAATTGGCTCCTTGAAATAAAACAAGAGATTACTATTATGTACTTTTGATGTATCGGTTACTCGGTAATTAAATTTATCCATCACCTTCAGTTCCCTTTCCACAGCGAAACTGAAATTTTTCCAAGTCCTGCTGCCAGAGGTAGCCCGGAAGCAGACATTGTGCTATCAACCTGCAGGCTAGCATGGAGATAACCATTCTGCGAGATCAAATTGAGCTTCTAGATTACAAGTTTCATTAACAAGACGTTACCTCAGACCCCAACAGATCGCTCTGCGGGAACGCTCGTGAGTGTGCCAACTTGAGGAAAATTATGAACGCTAAACACAGGTCTCTCAACACCTTACCTGTGGCCTCTGCCAGAACATTTGAACGTTATACGATCTTAAATGGACTTTAATTATGGATGTATAAGTCAAAAACATATGTAAGTAAAACAAACATATGAAAGTATTTGGAATGAATGGGAATTTATCTGAAATATATTTTCAAGTATAGTATTTCGTTTAGAATTTGGGATGGGAAATATATATTTTCTGAAAACCCAAACACTTACTTCAATAAGATCGTAGTACTTGTCAACTTGCTCACGGAAAGCTGTCGCTCTTATTTCTCCGCTCTCATCCACAAGATCCATTGAGAAAAGTTTACCTTCACCTCGAGCATTTGACCACGTTCGAATGGCACTTTTATTTGTGACTCTTGCTCGAATCACCCATCTGAAAATATAAATAAAAAAGAAAGAATTGATGATTTCTGCTTTCTTTTAATTTCAGACTGAATTATATTTTATTGTGTGTTAATGTTCAAGCACATATTCTGAAGCATTTATTGGTAATATGATATAGAGACAACTGACTATATCCTGCACTTGCCATCATCCCAGAAGCTAATTAGTCACAGGTACGAATATAATACAGTACAATAAATTGGTTTAAGTAGCAAAGGAATTTACATTTCAGGGTTGTTATGTAGTTTCTAGTTGAAAATGAAATGTTATTTTTCTGAGTGAGTATAGTGTATGTGATATAAAAAGTTATGCCATAGACAATATTTTAATCGTTTTGAATGTGAAGCATTTGCATTTTTATGTCTATGGATAACAAATTGCAGTAATGTACAAGACATTAACATAGAATTTTGATTATATACTGTGCATACAGACAACAGATTTTCGTTGTGTACTGCATTTATAGACATTATGTTACAAAAGAAAATCAATTTTTACAAAAACTGTTGGTTCATAAATGAATGGGAAAAACAACAACTCATTCACTTTAAAATGCAACAAATTAGAATTCTGACAGATCTTAATTTCTATTGTTCTCATTTTTTTAAAAAGATTAAACCTACGGTTTTGAAAATATCTAGAAAAATTCCTATGACCAATGAAATGTTCGGTTCGACGACCGGTCGAAATGACCGGTGAAAACTTCGGTTCTACTGTAATAAACTACAAACCTGTTCAACTGTAGCAGAATCCAAATGGAGCGTATCGTGTGTGTATTCGTGTTTTCGTACTTGGCCCCAGCAGGAAAAAAAATTCATGAGCCACCACCAATTAATAGTCAAAAGAACATTCAACAAAATGCAGTGGAATCTTCTTAATAAGTGTTTTCAAAGGACCGACAATTTTGAAGCGAGAAAACATGCAAAACGAAAAGTGCTCAAATTATACCTACTTTTCAGTTTTAGCTCTGCAACTAGAGCTCATGGAGTTTTATGGATATTTGATCATACTGGTAACACGACCCACATATATATGAGTATTCTAACGGGTCAAACCCACCCACATTTATAGGGAGAACAATATAATACAGGTCGACCATATATTTGAGTTACGGATATCATTCGGCTTCTTGACAGACATATAGAAGGAATTCCTTTTAAGATTGTAAAATTGACTATTTATGCTCAAGTTACCAAGTACGAAAATGGGGAAAATGCTTACAAAATTCCACTGTAGTTATGTCATCCAAATAGTTACCACACAAAGCCTACTATTCTACAAAATTCCACTTACCGATTTTGATATGGATTTAAGCTGCTGATAGGGTATGTGTGCATTGTATCAATTGGTGACGCAGCAGCCACATTCCTAACTGGTGCTGGTCTGGACACACTTGAGACACTAGATACAGCTAAAAATAAAATGTTCTCTTTAAAATACAAACAAATCAAATTTTCCCATCCATAAATTAATTCACAACTCCTTGGATTAAGGTTAATAATATAAATTAGTAAAATAGTTATAGTAAAACTCCATTTAAAAGTTTTTCAAGGAACTGAAGAGATAAAAAATGTGTAAGTGAGAAAAACGCACAACTGATATTGAAAATCATTAGCAAAACAAAAACTCAATATTTTTACATTGTCATGCTCCAACTCTTGCAGCAACTTTAGTTTTCATTTATTTAGTCACAGAACAGTAAAAACTACTTGATGTGAGAGGGAGATTCTCCTTACAACATTTGGACTATAAACAGTTGAATGATGAATAAAAGTTTCAAAAGAAGTAAACTTAGCAGCTTTTGAAAACTACATATTTTTTCTCCCAGTTATAGAAAACAAATTTGCATCAGTAAACAAATTGCTGATTTTATTTTATTTTTGCTAACAAAATAATAACCCCATCACAGATTTCCTCCTACTAATTCCAGCAAAAGGTGAAGCTACATTAATGTTCAGAAGCAAAACAAGGGGCCATCTCAGCATATGCTCAATAGATCACAGAAACTGGACAAAAACCCAATCGAGAGTGGAAGCGTAGATCCGGAAGCTGAAGTACATTACTTATTATTCGGAAGACATGTGGGCAAGGCATAGGCATGCCCAGCAGAAGAGATAGCACTGATATTCACACTTTATGCAGTGTTTTACAGGAGGAGTGTTGTGTTGATGCACTTCAGCTAATGCTGATGATGTTAGCTGTATCGATGTCTGTGTACACAAGTCGCTTAACGTGTGTCATAGATTAGCACTATCTTTTGCGAAACGATACACCAGAGATCTTCCATGGTATTCACTGAAAAAGACGTGTTATGAGGATATTTCCCAAATAATTATGCCATTCATGTCATCAAGTGATATCTAAAGTATACAATAGCCCAGCCCACATCCCCTGGATGCTGACTCGTGCACCACAGAACAAATGGTTCCTGAGAGAACTAACGAATACCACTGTCCACCATGTACTTAGCGTCTGAGCAACTAATGTGGCCACTCGCATTGAGCAATGAGGACACAGAAAGTTTGCTAACACCACTGGCCTTTACTGGTGAAAGTTTATCCAAGGAATCCTGAATTAATTTATTGAGGTTCATTACACAATCATTCATTAAATATTCTTTTTCTCCATAATTTATAGTTATGAGAAGTAGGAATTTTGCAGACTTTTCAATAACCAAAAATAACTTACAGTCATTGGTAGAGGCTGTTGACCGTGGCGGTTCAGGCTTTGATTGGTCATTGGCACCCTCCACCAGGGGAACAGGATTGCCTAATTTTACTCCGATTTCTGATCCAGGCGCCAGCACTGTCAGCTCCAAAATTATCATCACTCTTCTACAAATTCAGAAAAAGTAACAATTAGAGAAACAAGAAACTACAGAATTTAATGTAATATTTCTCTTATCTTATTCATGCAATAGAATGAACTCAAGCTCACAAGAAATTAGCACACTGTTACAGAGCATTTAATGGAAAGATACATGGATTTTTATTCCTTAATGAAAAATAATTACACATCAATCGTGTGCTTAACTTAGAAACCTTTCAACAACAAACAATCAACAAAATTCCATAAGTTATTCCCTCCTAGTAATACTACATACTGTACCATCTTCTTTCCCTACAGTTTATATCTTTCTGAATAGTAAACAAGGTTTCCTAATACAAGTTTCCCTAACTTTTCTGTTTTCCACATTTTTTTCTTCTCCTGCTGATTTGCTTTGTAGAGTTTTTCACACTATTTTTAAAAAATATATTGAAGGAAGTCTAATTGTGCTTATAAAGGAATACTAGTTTGTCAGCTCTCCGATTTCATTACGAAGTACAAATTAAAAATTACTCAACAAATAAAAATTGAGTGACTTCTTTTTTTTGGACTTATTTTTTTTTAAGGAATAATGTCTAGTTATATAACCATCGCATTTTTTTTTTTGACTTAACAATTTTTCTACAAATTCCCTGATTAACCCAGGTTTCCACGTTTTCTTGAAAGTGGCTACCTGGTCAACAGAAACACCACATACAAAAGGTACCTGGATACACTTCACTAAATCAATAAAAATATTTTCCACCGTAGAATTTGTAAACAGTTTTGACTGACAAAAAATTCACCAAATTACCAATCCAATATCTACAAATGATTCCTATAAGGTAAAATTTTAAATCTTGTAATAGAAAGTTAGTTTCTTGTCATTAATATATTTATTTCTATTTAATTTAAGTCAAAGATATGTCAAATTTGTGCATTTTCTTACTTGTTTCCCTTCTCGGAATTTACCAAACTTGTTATAAATCTATCAATCTTAACAACAGAATAATCTGAAAGTTCTCCTGTAGCAAGTCTTGAATTCAGCTGAGTGGCTAACATTGCAAAGCTGTTCAGATGACACCCATCTGATACCAACAGCCTATATCGTTCATTGGCTCCGGCACTAACAATTTTTTTATTTCCCTGAAAATAACAAAACAATATTATTCAAATACAAACAACATAATGAAACATAAAAAAAAAAAAAATTTGAAAGTTTTATTATTTATTTAACTCATTTAAAGAAGAATGCAAATTTCCATTTCAGTTTGGAAAAAATTGTTACACAAAATATTTAAATTGTATTTGATTCTTAGGATGTATAATGGCTGGCCAGTAAATACTAATTTTGTATTATATAGTATTTAACCTGGAATGGGTGGAAAGGGAAGAAATTAATTAAATCGAATTTAGTGAAAGGAACGATAGAACAAAAAAGGCCAAAAGAAAAAATTTGAGAAAGGAGGACTACCTGAAAAAAGGACATATAGGTTGTTTTCTAAGGGTATGTTGTATATATCCACGCATTATACTTCTATTTATTTGTATTGGCAGTTGACAGGCTGTCAACTGTGTTGCCACATACTCATGCAGCCAGCATGTGGTACACACATGGGTTCAACCACCAGCCCCATTGAGAACATTCCTGAATTTATTAAAAAGATACATTTCATAGGACCCATACTATTAGTCTATTTGAATGAAGGACATCAACCTTCACAAATTGTTTATACATACAATCTTACCTCTAATGTTTTACAGCATATTTGAAAAGTAATAGAGAACCCCAACACTAAGAAGGTAGAAGTTCTTTATATATGTTTATTCATTTATTCAACAGCATAATCACTAAATCTTAACATTCTTCTCATATTTTATCACAATGTTGACTTGTTCACTAATGTACTCATTGTGCCACTGCTTCTTATGTGTGCTTGAGGACCAATAGACTCGATTGATGTAAATAAAAGAGAAAAATGCCAGAAGTATCCTTTTTGGATATAAACCCCAAGCTTACAAGAAGTTACTAGACTCTTACATTCATTACTTAATTGGCATGTTCCGTAGAATTATAGACAGCCAATATTAAATCACGACAGTAATTTTTTTAAATTAATTTACATTTCAAATACACAATCGATATGTAACAACATGATCTTTTAACTTGAAGCTTGTTCATGACATGAACTACAAAACAAAATTTAAAAACACAAATGATACACATAAAGGCATGATAAACACAAAAGTATCAAAATCAAAAGTTTAAAATTAAAAAGTACAGCCATGCTTATTGGAATAATGACATCTGGAACCAATCAGAATACGGTGGTCCGGTCGGTAACGACTATGTAAGACATCCCGAGTCTGACACAGATGTTAGATCGGTTAAAGCTGGTTCAATCGTAGGTTATTACTATTTAACTGAGTTTGAACGCGGTGGTATAGCTACAAGAGAGACGGGCATACCATCTCCGAGGTCGCGATGAAATTTGGATTTTCCCGTACGATCATTTCTCGAGTGCACAGTGAATATGGGGAATCTGGTGTAACATCAATCTTCCGGCATCGCTGCGTCCGCAAAAAGATTGTGCAAAAACGGGGCCGATGACTGAGGAGAATAATTACACGCAACCCTTCCGCAAATTGCGGCAGATTTCAATGCTGGGCGATCAACAATGTCAGCATGCGAACCATTCAACGAGACATTACCGTTATGGGGTTTTAGAGCCGAAGGCCCACTTGGTGTACCCTTGATTGCACGACACAAAGCTTTACGCCTCACCTGGGCCCATCAACACCCACATTGAATTGATGACTGGAAACACGTTGCCTGGTCTGACGAGACTCGTTACACTTCGTTTCAAGCGGATGGTCGTGTAAGAGTATAGCAACAACCTTGTGAACCCATGGACCCTGCATGTCAACAGGGGACTGTCTACCAGATTTTTTGGCTCTTTAGTGTGTGTGTGTGTGTGTGTATATATAGACCCACACCCACACACACACCCACACCCACACCCCCACACCCACACCCCCACACACACACACACACCCACAC